TTGAATTACCTATATTAAGCTTATGCCCGTCAAAAGTTTCAGCTCTAACACAAGTGATGTTCTGGATCATGCGTATGTCTCAATAAACACATCACTGCCACAGTGAGTGTTGTTGAGAGCAACTTGACTGGGATTCTGACACCGGCTCACACATTTTTGCCTTTGCTCGGGAAGGATGGCTCCAGAGCTCCAGAGCAAACCAATTTATGCAGCAGCCAAACCGCTCGCTCACAACTTTCATGCCAGGAGCTCACAAAGTAGAATTTTTGCTCAGAAGACTCCACAGCTTAGAGGGACCCTTGAAAAGTAGCGGCCAGAAGAGATCGCCCCCTCAGCTGTCCACCTACCCAAAGGGCACGATAGCCTCAGGTGTCTCGTCTTCTGCATCTTCTATTCTGAGGGTCCCCAACCTTTCTGACCCTGTTGGCACCTTTGGCATTCTGAGAAGAGGGGTGGGTGCTGCCACAAAATGGCTGCTGGAGCCCAAGTACTAAGTGTGAGGGAGGGAAGGGATGCTCAACTTCAACAGTAGCTCTTCAACATTTCAGGCAGAAGCTCTGTTTAACCCAGATGCCGTGTGAGATGGGAGAAGGGAAATATAATTATAGTAAATGCTTACCTCCCACCTCTATCGAAAATGTCGCTCATTGAGGAAAACTGGATAGCATTAGATAACTTTATTACAGACTCTTGAACATCCAGAAGCCCAAATGTTATTGGCAGGTGATCTAAATGCTCGCTTGGGACCAGGGGTCATTTCGTAGAAAAAGAGCTAGGGGAACTCATTAGCATAACTCATTAGCATATGCCACACCCCCTGACATCAGGGGCCCGGCGGTGGGAGTGCAAGGAAGCCCCGCGAAGGCCCTCCCTGGCCCCAGGCAGGCAGGGGTGGGGAGAGGCAGGGAGGAAGCAACTTACCCTCCCTCTTCTCCTTGCCTCCTCCTGGCTGAATGAGGGCCGGAAGCAGGGCGGCCGGAAGCGGGGGGCGGGGCTTCGTCATCCCCCCCGAAATGACCCCTGCTTGGGACAAAATGATGCTATACTGGCATCTAAATTTAACTTCCTAATAGAGGAGCAGGAACAGGATCAGGTGGGATTACCCTTTATGCGTACTTCTAAAGACTGCGGAGGGAACTTTGCAGGGGTTTGTCTAACTAAATTGGCACAAACCCAGATGCCTTTTAAAATAAATATACTGTTTTTTTTTAAAAAAAAAAAATCGTTTTCTTGCATATATACACAGCTTGCTTTCAGTCACTCCGTGAAGATCCTTGTACTGTGGTGGCAACTGTTCCCAAACCAACATCTTCAAAAGTCTGCTGAGCCAATGAGAAGCCCTTCTCTGATGGTCCTGGGCGTGGGGCATTCTGGGATACGGTTCTGTCCCCTCCAAAGAGCGGGTCAGTCGACTGATTGATCCCAGAGGGGGAGGGGCTTGTCCTGGCGCTCCTCAGTCTTTCTGGCCCTGCCTTCGAAGCTGGGCGTGTCTGACGGTGGCTCCGTACAGCATAGTGACCCCGGATATAGCTTTTGCCATTTTTTATTTTTCTTTCCTCTTTGGGAAAGCTCACCGAGGTCGGGAAGTGCCTACAACAGAAGGCACTTCCAATATCAGGGGCTGCTCACTTCCGGTCCGGCACCTTTAAAAGTTCCACTGTCTTCCTTTCGCTAATGCCCGTCTAGGAATTCAACTTCCTGGATGTTTCACACAGACCTCTTTCTTTGTAACACCAGCCTGCTCTTCCCACGCTATTGCCACGAACAATGGCACTACCTTTTGTTCTGAAATCGTCAGCCAGGGTTTCCACGAAGATTCTAGTCGCTTTGGCAGCAAACCTGAGGCTGCAGGGAGTGTCCCTGTTTCCATACCTGGACGATATTCTGATCAAAGCACCATCATTTCAACAGGGCCTGGGACTGGTGTAAAGGAAAGCAAAGAGCAGCTTGAATCCTTCCCAGATGATAGTCCATCCAGGGGAGGAGACAGATACAATCCAAGACAGAGAGCCAGTTTGGTGTGGTGTCCCTTTCCCTCCCCCTCCCCACCACAGACACCCTGTGAGGTAGGTGGGGCTGAGAGAGCTCTGACAGAACTGTCCCTGAGAGAACAGCTCCGAGAGAACTTATGAGTGACCCAAGGTCACACCAGCAGCCGCATGTGGAGGAGTGGGGAAATCAAACCCGGTTCTCCCAGATCAGAATCCGCGCTCCCATCCACTCCACCAAACTGGCTTTCTTAAAGCTTGCAAGTGCACTGCAGTGGCTGGGACCTGGAAAGATGACCCCACATAATCATCATTTCTCAGGGTTGAGTCTGGTTTTTTTTAAAAAAACAAAAACACATTTGTTTGAGCTGAGCTGTGAAGCACTTACTGAAACTGGGAGCGGTGGCGCAGGCAGTAAGAACGCCTGCAAGTAACATCAATGAACAGCCATTGTGGCTGTTCGAGACCCACCGCGGCCGGGGTGAGCTCCCGGCCCCAGTCCCAGCTCCCGCCCACCCAGTGGTTCAAAAGCATCATAAATGCAAGTAGGTAAATTGGGTACCTGCCCTAGGTGGCAGGGGCACCCTCCTCCTTGCGAGATAGAGGCATCGGTGGTGGCAGCAGTGACGATGGCAGCGGAGCAGTTCCTGGCGACCAAGTGGAGCGACGTCGGAGGCGGAGCGGCGGAGCCCGGAAGTGGAAGAGGCCTAGAGAGCACGGTGACGTGTGGCGCAAGACGGCGGAGCCACCAGTGGACAGTAGCTGGAACTGCAGCCTACACAGAACCGTGCACCAGTACGAGGCCTGCCAGAGGAAGCCGCTCGGAGAAGATCGGCTCCAGAAGGTCACCAGGACGCCGATATCCGAAGACGCTGAAGGAAGCCTGAAAACAACTAGCCCTGGGTGCTGGTAGGCTGACACCACCCGATCAACAATGTGGCCCTAGTTAGGTGAATTTGGTTAGGTTAGAACTACTATGTAAACCGCCCAGAGACCCTTCGGGGTCAGGGCAGTATATAAGTCGAAGGTAAGAAGAAGAAGAAAGAAGAAGAAGCTGACAAACAAGCTGCACTTGGCAGCGGTTGTAATAAACACGACCGATCCAGTTTGTCTGAAAAGAGGCACGTTACTTGAAAAGCGGGGAGTCATTTAGAAAATGGAAGCCCAGTCTCCATGCCTGAGCGTGTGGGAAGGGATTGACGGGGCGTGAAGAACGGGGAGGTTTGTGGTGTCGAAGCGTTTGGTCAGGTGGAAGAAAACAGAGAAGACGATGGAGCTTGAAGCCCAGGTCACTTCCTTGGCATTGAAATCAGCTGTCCGATGAAATGAAAAGTCTTTGAGCCAAATAGGCTGTCTAAGGGAAGGGATGATGGTTGGGATTCTGCCAAGTCACACTGAATAATGGTGTGGAACCTTTTTGTGTCGTTGGAAAAAAAACAGCTGGCCTTGCTATTAAATTGAGTGCCGTAGAGTTGGTGGGCCAACATCTGGGGGCAGGTTTGGCAGACATTGTTACAAGATTTTCTCCCGTGAAGGAAAGCGGAAGTCAAGATTTTTAGTATTTGTTTTTTCCTACTGTTATGGCTTTATACCAGTAGATTGCATTCCACAACGCTCAAATGATCCACATTGAACTTCAAAACAGGTAACACATGGAATTCACTGCCACAGGAAGATTAACACTTGGAATTCACTGCCACAGGAAGTGGTAGCAGCTACCAGCGTCATAAGGGAATTAAATAAGCCTATGGAGCAGAGGTCCATCAGTGGCTATTAGCCACAAGGTATAGATAGGGGCTCTGGGGCAAGTGATGCTCTGTCTTCGTGGTGCTTGGGGGGGTCAACAGTGGGAGGGCTTCTAATGTCCTGGCCCCACTGGTGGACCTCCTGATGGCACCTGGTATTTCTGGCCACTGTGAGATACAGAGTGTTGGACTGGATGGGCCTTTGGCCTGATCCAACATTGGCGTCTCTTATGTTCTTATGTTCTTAAGGTTTCATATTGTGCTCTGGAGGCCTGATGTGTTCTCTATTTTTCCCGTTTCCATGTTTTGGACCCACTTTGCTGCAATATTTTCTAAACCTGGCTTGATATGATCTTTTGAGAAGGCTTTTGGATGCCATATGGATGGAAAGGTGTACACTTTTGGCAGGTTGTGCCCGTATTGGCACTGTTTTTCTTGCCCCACATCCAGCATTTTGAACAGCCCCCCCCCCACAGAACTAGAACCTGGGAGATCCAGTTTCGAATAACCACTTTGCCATGGAAACTTAATAGTCACTTTCTTGTCTCAGCCTAACCTGCCTCACAGGGCGGTGGGGAGAATAAAGTGGAGACGATGCTGCAAACTGTCATGGGACCCCACTGGGAAGAAAAGCAGGGTATAAATGAAAGCTGCTGGGAGATCTATTTCATTACATCATGGTCTGTTCTTTATACTCAGACCTAAGAAGCAAATTCCTATCTGGAATTTTAAGCCAACTTTGCAACTTACCTGACAATGAAAAGTTGGTTTTCCTCTTGTCGGACATATATCCCCTGGTTACTCGCAAGGTAGCGCTTTTTGCTCTTGCAGCCAGAAACGTTAGATCCAAGGTGGTTTCTAGTTGTCTTAACATAGAGCTACAAATTGGTGGCATAGCTTCTGTGATTTTAAAACTTTGATTGTTTTATTGTTGAAATGTTATCCACTCTTATTTTGAAGGCTTTGTTTTTAGAACTGTACTTTCGAACCTTAAATTTATATTGTGTATATTTTATATTGTAACGGCCTACGGCCATAGGCAATAAATTTACTTGCTACGAATGAAAGCCGCTTCACGTACCGTTGTTTTTAGGTGCATGCTTAAAATGTCAAAAATAAAACTGCAAAACTCGACATCGTTTCCACACATCCGCTTGCTAGAAAACGAAGACTGGGTACAGCTCGGATACGAGCACTGAATGTAAACAGAGCTCGATTGGTTGTTGCCATGTAATGTGTGAAATGGCACAAATTGGGGGGGGGGAAGAGGCTGGCACCCACAGAGACTTTGGCTAGAATGCATTCTGGGCTCGATCATACTGCTGTTTTGAATGATCTCCACATTGGGCCACGTGGGCCAGAATTTTCCTTGTTTGATTGTGGTTCGTAGGTGGTGGGTAGTGGTACCTGGAGCCTCGTCCTGTACATGTCTGTTTTTGTTGCTGCTGTGCCTAGGTCAGTGTAACAAGGCTTGGAGCCCGTAGGAGAGTCTCATCCAGGTATCCTGATACATGCTTGTGTGATTAGGGTTGCGCCTGGCAATCTGTAGGAGGGTTGCTAGGTCAGTGTAACAAGGCTTGGAGCCCGGAGGAGAGTCTCATCCAGGTATCCTGATATATGCTTGTGTGCCAGGTTGCGCCTGGCAATCTGTAGCAGGGTTGTTGGTAGGATCAGCTGGCCAATTGGGGGTGGGGACACCTGCCAGAGGGAGGGCCAGACTACATTGCCAGCAACATGGCGATGTCATGCCGGAAGTGACATTATCACACTAGTGCCATCTGGGTGACGCCCTGGTATTTGGGCAAAAACGCTATGGCAGAAGCCATTTTTACCATAGAGTTTTTGCCCAAATGCCACAGTGTAATACCGTCACTTCTGGCACATGCAGGAAGTGATGTCACCAACATGACCAGGAGGGGACCTGGCAACTCTAGTGGGGGGACAGTGTCCCAGTTGCCAGAAACTCTATAGTAAGATTACTAGATTGCTAGAGCTACTCGTGTCACTTCCGGGTAGCTCTAGGAATTGACAGGAACTCTATGGTCAGAACCTTTTGTAAGTAGCTGAGACCTTATTTTTCTTTCTAATATTTCTCCCCTGGATGGTCGCTGTCCTCCCCTTTGGACCCACCAATTAGCTGAGCATTGGTGGGTGAGCAAGGTTTGCCATTGCGTGGAGGTCTTTCACTATAAGTGGGCAAAATGGGAACCCTACCATTTGATAGCTCCTTCATGCTGCCAACTCCACTGGAACAGTTTAAGAAGTTTTCTGGACTCCTTATGATTCTGTTTTGTTAACTTGTATTTGGCCACAGGTACGACAGGGAAAACTTCATCGCCGCCACCTGCAGTCGTAGACGTGAGGCAGATGAAGGAGAAGCTGGAGACCGTCTTGTTTCAGCTCCGCCAGGTTACCCGCGAGCGGGACGAATTACGGAAGCGCCTTGCACTTTCCTCTCCCGGGTCAACCTTCGATGATTGCAGGTAAACGAAAAAATAAGTTAAGCCTCCTGACAGGGATTGTTTCTGGCATTCTTAAGCGTGGTTTCTTTGGGTCTGAGATTCCGCGAATCACCCCTCCCCCCCTTTTTGTGAACGTAATTTGAAAAACATGACGACGCACTTCCTGTGGAGTAGATGTGTGTATTGCAGCCTGTTTGCCCAAATGTCCAGAGTCTTGGGCGCAGGAAGAATTCTACTGCACAGCACCGTTTGACCTACCCTCCGCGACAAATTTATTTAAGCTAGGTCCAGAGAGTAGCCGTTTTAGTCTGCAATAGAACAGCTGGATTCTTGGAAGCTTATGCCCGAAAAACCGTGTGGGTCTGTAAGGTGCCACCGGACTTGAGTCCAGCTGTGTTTATTTCGATGTTCCCTACCTTTGACCCACACCAACATGGGACCCAAATCGGGCAACGAAACATTGTGAAACAATAATACAGCAATGAACCTGAAAACACAGTTCTTAAAACAAACACCAAGGAATGGGTGGGATGAGTCGATGGCGCTTCTCACCCTCCCTGTAAGATTTTCATGCTGGCTTAGAGCTCAGCTGACTGTCTCTGTTTCCGGAAATTCTGCAACTCCTGCCAGAATCTGCAGTTCCAGCCGAAATCCCAGTAAGTACAAAACTCCATTCCCATCAGAGAATTGTGAGAATTAATTATTTTGTTGAAGTTATTAAAATTAGTAATAGCTTTTAAGAGTAAGTTGACTGTCACCCTCCTAAGTGAACTCCCAAAATTTGCTAAGTATTGTATAGGGATTAAAAGTTCCATAACATTTCATAAAGGGCTGAAGAAAAGATTGAATGCAGGGCAAAACGTTCATGAAAGACATAATTTGGCTCATCTTGACACACACCTTGGAGTGCTTTGGCAGCTCCTTTCCTTCCTCTGATGGGTTCATTGCCATGATATCACACCTCTCATTTAGGAGTTGAAAGGTCACACCCTTCCTAAATGAGGATGAACTAATGATTCATCCTAACACATGCAAGGCAAAGAAGGACCCTCATTTTTGCCACTGTTATCAGATGAAAATACACACAGTTTTATGGAAGTCATTTTGACTTGATGGAATATTTGACCACAGTAAAACAACAGTTAATTAGCTAAGTAATCCAACAAGTGTCAATTCAATTTTTTAATATTATGGTCCACAACCAGATCCAGTTGACAAAAACAAACATTATTCAGGTATACAAATATACAAGTTAAAAACTCTAGTTAAAATATAGAAAAAGAAAATTTTACAAAAGAACCTAAATAAAATTATATCAAAAAGAGAAAAATAGATTATAAAATATGTAACAAAGCATCATAGGTGACCAGTGTTAAAATTTAAACCAAGGAATTTAAGAGGGACAAGAGCTATATAATAGACCTCCTGAAGGAAACTAAGCCAAGACTCAAAAGGGCAGGACTGAAATTTACTGCACTCTTCACCTGAACGCAAAATCTAGCAGTTAGCTTAGTAATAACTGGAATTTCATCTGTTAATAATTCAGATGGATAAGTGTGTTGGTCTGAAGCAGCAGAATAAAGCTCAGGACCAGTGGCACCTTTAAGACCAACAAAGTTTTATCCATGGGTATAAGCATTCGTGTGCACGGACACTTCTTCAGATACACTGAAATGGAAGTTACCAGTCCATACATATAGGTAGAGGGTGAGCAGCAAATTAGCATACAGCATAATAAAGGTGTTTAACAGTTGCAAAGACTAAACTGGAGTAAGTTAATATGGCCATCATTTGTTTGAGTTTAATTCCAGGGGAAAACAATGAAGGAAATAAATATGTCAAAAATCTGTGGTCGATGGGCAGATGTACCCGGAATGCTGAGAGTAATTAACAGAGGACCTACTGTGCTCTGTCCCTCTTCCCTCAAACGGAACATATAATTAAAATCTAGATTTCAAGTCTAGTAGCGCCGTAGATACCAACAAGATTGGGGGGGCTTCGCTCGCGAACGAGACGGAAGCCTTTTGAGTGCTCTCCCGGGCTCCCTCGCCTTCCCTTCGCCATATCTAAGCTCTTCGGAAAACTTTCCTACCAGAAATACGCACCATCGATGCATGAATAGAAAACAAGTAAGTTCGAGCGCTCAAACGAAGGTTTTGCTAACTTTTATACGGCTGTTTTGAAGCAAAGTAAAGTGCCCCGAAATTTTCAAAATGGCGTCCGGAGCTAGAGAGATGCTGCCGAACAGCGCTCCACTAACAAAACAAGACCTATTAGACACATTTATGCAACTCAAAGCTGAAATCCATGATTCTATCAATTTGGCATTAAAACCGGTCACGGAACAACTCGAAGCCATGCAGGCTTCTATGCAAAACATAGCCTTAACATCGGATACAGCATTAGAGGCAGCTATGGCCACAAATTGAGGATATTAGAAGCCTCCAAGATTCGAAATCTTGGGCTCATGAGAGAATACTAATTTTGGAGTATCGCACACGCGAAAAATTTGTTAAATACAGGGGCTTCCCTGAGAAAGCAGAGAAAGATGAGGATCTTACATCCTTCCTAACTAACTGGATGAAACAGATATTTTCGCTTGACGAAGAAAGCACACCTATGCTTGTGAGGGCATACAGAATTGGTGCCCAATCCTCTACTGAACGGAAAGGTCCCAGAGACATCCTTTCTGAATTTTTAGACATCAAAATGAAACATCCTCCGTTTGGCAAAAAACTCCACAAATCTAAAATTCAATGACAAAAATATAGCCACCTTCCCTGATGTGCTTCCAGAGGCTCTTAACATTAGAAGATCGCTAAAACAAATCACCTTACGCTTAAACGAAGCAAAAATAAAATACAAATGGCTCCCAACTGGGGCCTTGCAAGTGCGCAGAAACAACACCACATACCAAGCTGTGGACCTCGACACTGGAGAGTCCATGTTGATCGCTCTAGGTCTCAACGCTCCTTCTGAAATGGACACCAACTCACAGAAAAACAGGAAGAGGACCAGACCAGACACACCTCATAAGTGGAGCAAAATACCCACACGTAGAAGAATCAATCTATGAACTAGTATGTCTAATCGGAACAGCAAGCTAGGTTATGCAAGTATTTGTATATCACTTAACACAAGAGTTATGTTTTAGTGAATTTTATAGTAGGATAGTTGAACTTTAAATTTTGTATTTTGGCGGGGTGGAGGTCCCAAAGTGCATTCAGCGCCCTTGGGAAAATGTACAAATTGTTGTTTTTGCTAATTTTATGGTGTTTAGCAGCGATCCCATATTGTAAGCCCTTAAGGCTTGGAGATGAGCGGAGGCTCATTCCTATGGGTCACTGCAATGAAGGGAGGGGGAAGGGGGAAGGGGGTTATGGGGAAAAGGGGTATAGTCTTAAGATCAGTATGTTATGTTAATGTGTTTTCAAAATGGTTGAATTGGAGGTGGAAAATATCATCTTTACTACAGACATGTATTTTTATTATAATGATGGCAGCTAAATTAAGTTCAATGTTAAAGTATGTTAATACTGCAATTGTTTATATGCTTTATAAAACTTATCGCTCCAAAACATAATGGATACTATAAATGTTGTCACCCTAAATTGTAGGGGAATTAGCAACAAAATATAGGCAAAACGAATAGCCAATGACCTTCACACTCAAAAAATCTACATTGTTCTACTCCAAGAGACTCATGTAAAAAATGGTAAACATTTATTTCCTGTCAAATGGTTTCCAACTCAATTGTTAGCCTACGGTACCAGTAATTCTAGAGGAGTGGCAATTCTAATTTCCTCATCTACAAACTTTAAACTCGAATCCTGTGAAAGAGATGATCATGGCCGTTTTATTTTTTATAAACGGGTTGATAAATGACCAACCCATAACTATTGCTTCAGTATACGGCCCAAATTCAAATCAATGCAAATTTATTCAGGAAACCTTAGAAAAAATAAATAAATTTCACACAGGTCCTATTTTATTAGGAGGAGACTTAAACTATACCTTAGACCCACGCAAAGATAAATCATCACCAAAGAAAATTAAAACAAAATCAAATATCAGTCAATTGCAAATTTTATTAGACAAACACAATCTAGTTGACATTTGGAGGCTACAACACACTACTGAAAGAGACTATACCTATTATTCACCAAGGTACAAAACATATTCACGAATTGATTATTTGATTGCCTCCTCAAATTTGATTGATAAAATATACTCATCGAATATTGGCATTCAAAAGTGGTCAGACCATGCCCCGGTATTCTGCAGAATAGGCACTGGTAACAAAAAAATAAACAAGCCAAGCTGGAGGTTTATTAAACTTTTATTATATGACCCAAAGGCCCAAGAGAAAATTAGACACGAATTAGTAAATTATTTTAAAACAAACTGCACTGAAGATGTGTCCACACAGACTATATGGGAAGCGTCAAAAGCTGTCATGAGGGGACAATGTATTTCCATAATGGCAGCCTGTAAAAAAGAAAAAAATAAGATTAAAATGGAACTTATACATAATATTAAAGAACTAGAAGACAAACATAAGAAGACATGCAGCAAAAAAGTATATAAACGACTACTAGATGCTAGAAAAAATTAGAAATGATGGAATCAACTGATATTTTAAAAGACAATTTCAACAATAAGAAAGTATATCAAACTAATAACTCTAAACATTTAAGGCTACTCTCATGGAGACTCAAAAAGAAGCAGGCGGAAAGATTTATAAGTTGTATTAAAAGCAAAAATAACACCCTGCATCGGGAAACCAGTGAAATTATTAAGATACTCCACTCCTATTATGAATCCATATACACTTTGGACGCCAAGATGTACCTCTAATGTCTTGTTGAGACAAGAAGCTGGTCTCAGTACAGTCGAATTGAATATCTGGTTGCATTCTCTCTGCTTTTGGCTTAAAGTCCACCTTTTTCCTGTTGGGTTATTTCCTTTTCTATTGGCCGCATCCCCTTATCCTCAGTGGTCCACCAGAGCCATTCACAAAT